TAGCATTGCTTAGGGTTGTCATTGAGAGAGAACTGGTCATGAATCTTTGTCCAGATGACCTTGCCAGAAAAACCTTACTATGTGATGATAGAAGGGAGAATTCCGAACCCCAAGTTTAAGTTTGTCACCCCTGTGTTTTTCCATTATGATTTAAGGTAACCTGGGAAGAATGTAGGGAGCCCTGGTGATGGAGTGGTTATACGTTGGGCTTCTAATGACAAGCTCAGCAGTTTTAAACCACCAGTCGATCCTCAATAGAAGATGGGGTTTTCTATCCCATAAACAGTTATGGTCTCAGAAACTCACAGCATCCTATAAGGTTGCTAGGATTCAACATCAACTCCTTGGCAGTGAGTTTGGTTTGTTAATTTTGCGGGGAGGAATATTGGACAGCTCTACCTTGAATAATATGTACATATGACTATAAATTATTGAGATATTTAGTTAAATGTTTAAAGCTATACTTTTATCTTAAAGGATATTTGATATATTTATATATTTACACATATATTTATATTTACATATATATTTTTTAATAAAAATATTTTTGCCGTGATAGTGCATGTATACGACAGGTTATAGATCTTCTTTTGGAAGTTATGCTCATTTGTTATAGCAGCATCATAAACTACACAGCTGTTTCCTAGAGGTAATAGCCCAACAGCTAGGGGTGAACATGTGTTTTCCTATTTCAGTTAAGCATCATAGGCTTTACTGGTTTCTGTCACCTCTCATTTCTACATTGTTTTGCCTACTTTACATTTTCTCCCTCCTAGTTAATTCATTAGGATCCGTTTGTCAGATTGCTCACAGAATAAATGGAGACGAGGTTGACTTGTGGGTAGATGTTTGAGTCTTGTTCAGCTCTGTAGTTCCAGCTCCTCACATTATGCATGTGGCATAGTAGTGTATTCATTGCTCAGGAGGTATTTGGGTATGTGGATTGAGGAGGTGAATTTGTGGCAAAACTCTCTTTCTCTATGTGTATGGCTGTATGAGATGAATTGTTAAACTGTTAATAAAATGTATCCTGTTGATAATAAACAGATAGCCTGGTGATGTTGTGGAGTAAGCATTGGGCTGTTAACTGTGTGGTCAGTGATTCAAACTCACCAGCCACTCCTTGGGAGAAAAACGAGGTTGTCTTTAGCCATTCAGAAAACCTATGACCCATAGGGTTGCTATGAGGTGAAACTAGTGGTGTTGTATGTATGTCTTGGACAGTGCAAACCCACTAACCACTCCGTTGGAGAAACATGAGGCTTTTTGCTTCCGTAAATATTTACCTTGGAAAACCACAGGTCAGTTCTGCCCTGTTGTATAAGGTCACTGTGCATTGGAATTGACTTGAAGCCAGGTAGTTTGTGGGTCATAGTGGATCTGAGGGCAGTGCATAGCTTCTGTGTGATTTTGGTGAGCTGCTTACCTGATGGCTTTCCAGAAGGGAGGGCACCACACTAAGTGGAAGGTGGACCAGTATGGCGAAGATGGGAAATGAAATTTATAAAACTCTTCTTGCCTGGCTTTTGTGTTTGGTCAGTGTGAGGCTCAACCATTTACATTTGAACTTGTTCAGGTTTCTTTTAATATGGAAACTGCTTGGATTTGTTATGTTGTTCCTCACTGCCTTGAAAGTCTTTAACAAACTATTTTCTTAATTGTTGTTGTTAGGTGCCGGTCAACTCTAACAACCTTATGTATAATAGAACGCAATATTGCATGGTCCTGGCACTATCTTCACCATCGTTATAGTGCCCGGGTCAGTCCATCTTGTTGAGTGGCTTTCTCTTTTTCATTGCTCTCTGACTTTACCAAACGGCATGTCCCTTTGTAAGTACTCATCTCTCCTGATAATGTTTCTGAAGTACATGGCTGTACTTCTTCCAAGCCAGATTTCTTACTTCTTCTGGCAGCCCAGTATTTTTATTTTACTATTCTTGCCAACACCGTTATTCAAAGGCATCAAGGTGACATACATGGCATTTTTACTTCCATGTGTATTATACAATAAACCATGAAATGTCTCTGTAAAACATGATGTAATAGGTTTCTCAGATACAGAACAGACAACTTTTAGCTCAGAGACATGAATATCGAGTAGGCTTCCCCCTTTCAACAGCGTCATTACAGAAAGAGGACCGTAAAACTTCTATTAAGAACTTTTGGATGAAATCTAAGAACTTGGTCAAATTAGATGTGGACAACTAGGTAAAGCTGCACAAATTACTGATGAACTGTGCTGTTTTTGAGTTGTTGTACTTGGCATTTCTACCCACCCCTCCCCTTTCCTTCAGATGATGGCTCTCCTTAAAGAATGGTATGATTTATACAGAATTATTTTTGGTTTGATGTTAGTGGGGTTTTTTCCCCCACCTCCTCCGTAGAATTTAGTGATTCTTTGTTCCCATAAGAATATATGTTTTCTTTTTAAAAAATGCACTCCCATTTATTTATTTATTTTTTTGGGTGAACAAGATATTTCCTAGGTAATTGAATTCCTAATTAAATTTTGTGCTTCCTTAGTAATTCATTTGGCAGTTTATATAAAAATAATGTTGTTTTTCCTCTTGCTTCCTAATTCAGATCATCATCTTACAAGCTTTGATTTGAATCCCTAAGAACAATGGATGCACTTTTCACGGCCTCCATTTATATGTATTTGCACTAAGCTATGGATTCTCTGAACTAATACACTCTCCCTCTCTTCCATCCTCCCTGTGGTGAAGGACTGTTTGGATACTTTGCTAAAAGGACTTGTGGTAGTCCAAATATTACTACTAGGATATGCGCTTGTAAACCGACAATTTTCTTTCCTGTGTCCAAATAAAAATGGTGGTTCCGTTGTGCGATTACCTCAGGTCTGAAATATGAATTCAGAGGAAAACTTACTTATCTACTCCCTTTAGCCTTTATGCTTTGAAATCTATAGGCACACATTCACAGATGATTCTATGATTACAGGAGAACACATGCTGAGCAGCTAACTGCAAGGGCTGTTCGAAAACCCCAGCTACTCTGGGAGGAAGGTGAGGTTTTCTGCTGCATCAGATCCCCTGGGAACCTGAGGGGCAGTTGTGTTGTGTCCCACTCCATGGCAGTAAGTTTGGCTCTTTTGGTTTCCCTTCATCCAGTTGTCTTTATATTAATTTTCACAGTGACATTGCAAGATAGATATTTGGTAAAGCTGTTAGCAGAAAAGGAGTTTAATTAGTGTATTTTATTCAGTAAACATTTATCGAAGGCACACTACTAAGTGCCAGGGAGGTAGGCATTAAAAAAGTCACTCCTCTTGAAGTATTCATGAGTTTGTTTCTTGATTAACATGATAACACCATCATTAACAACAATTGCCATTCTTTATTACTACTTTCCATGTGACAAGCATAGCAGTTCTAAGTGCTCTACCAATACCTTGTCTCAGTAACCCTTGACTGTTATCCATGTTTTACAGATGAGGACAGTGAGGCTCACAAAGTCTAGAGAACTTGATCAGGGTCACACAGTATGTGACAGAAAGCGGGCGTGGGCGGGGGTCCCGTCCTTTCCTCCCTTCTTCCCATCTTTCTGTCTCTTTTCTTCTCTCTCTTCCCCCACCCCTCCCTTCTGTTATAAACATTACTGTACATGCATCTTTGTATCCTGGCTTACTTCTTTTCCCACAGATGTAATTGTAGGGCAAAGAGTGTACATTTCAAAAGCTCTTGGTAGATGCTGTGGTCTACAAGAAGGGTTACATCATTGACACGCCTGCTGGCATCAATTGCCTATTTACCGTATCTCCATGATCTTCAGAAAGCAAAAGTTCAACATTTAGAAAAATAAGCTTTAAATGTCAGAGAGGAATTACCACCAACCAAGTATACAGAAAAGAACTCTGTAAATCTAAAAGAACTCTGTAAATCTAAAATCTAAATCAGTTCTCAGTATTAAAAGTCATTTAAAGAAACTTTTCAAATACCAGGAGCCAGTGATGTCATATTCCTTTGGCTGCGCCTTACTTGTCCAAATTAACTCGAGCATTGAGACGGGCTTACGGGCCTGGGCACAAACATACAAGACTGGTCAATCAGTGCTAGGAGTGAAATGCTTCACTGCAGTTGTTTTGGGACGCCTGGCCAGACCAGTGGGAGGACTGGATTAGGAGTCACTCGATTTGGGTTCTAGACCTAGTTTATAGCTAATGACCTTGGACAGGTTCCTTAACTTACTGCTTTGATTTCTGCCAGTAATCATTAATAGATTGCAGTTTTTTGCTTTTTTCCTTTCCCAGAAGGAATGCTCTGAAACCCTGAATTACGTCAGTGGGTCAATTTGTTGGGAAGGATATGGAGGAAGAAGAGACCAGTAAGCCTGGAGAGAGTAGCTCCACTTTTCCCTATGTAACTTCTGTGGGTTTCTTAAAATTTTTACTTTGAAGGAAATATTAAATCATCTTGGAAGTTTGTTTCTGTTGTTAAAGTGAACTCTTTTTGAGTATCCACTCATTGTGACTGTCTTGTTCTTGGTATAATTCCCCCAGGGCTAGGTTGCTGTTGACTTGATCGGAAAGTCGTTGCAGTACAATGGCTAGTTGCCGGGTTTGACTCTGGCTGTCTCCTGATAGTAACCACAGAGAAGATATTTCAGCGGGAAATTCATTTTTGCCTTTTGTTCAGTTGCCTTTGAGTGATTTCCAACTCCTGGGAACTCCCATTTGTGTAGGGTGAAACTACTTTAGAGGGTTTTTGAGGCTGTGGTCTTTTGGAAGCAGATTGCTCGGCTTGTCTGCTGAGGCGTCTCTGGGTAAGTTTGAACCACCAACCTTCTGGCTAGTAATTAAAGGCTTAGCCAATTGCACCATGTAGGGTCTCCTACCAGACAGTGAAAACGGAAGGCATTTTTCACCTCTCCTAACTTAGAGAATCCCAAGAGAAAGGTAAACTCATAGTCTTTCATAATCAAGACACATCATACTAATTGCCATTAACTTTGTAGCACTGTATGTACATTGTCTTTTAAAAAAATACTTACTACTCCATTAAGGTGTATGTGCCATCTTTGCACAGAAGCCATGCTCATATTTTCTGTATCATTCCAGTTGAAGTGTATGTGTTACCAAAGCAAGCACATATATAAAAATGGTCTTAATTAGCCTTTGGCATGGTCCTATGAAGTAGAACTGGCAGTGACTCTACTGTAGATGAGGATCGTGAGATTTGTAGAGAATTGGTAGCCTAGCTAGGCCTTCAGAGCTAGTAAATGGTAGGGTTTGGAACTCTAATTTTGTTTCTGAATGTGCATTCCTTATTTTCACATTTCTCTTTTAAATTTACAGGAGATTTGTAGTTTGAAAAGTTATTAACAGCACTACTACTCAGGTTTCTCACTAATGAAATCTGGCAGTATAAGTAATTGGCAACTTTTGTGTTTTATCTGCTTGGATTTTGCCAAGGACTTTTAATAATAGGGCTGAAATGGTATGATCAGATTGAATATATTACTCCTAATCTGCTCTCTCCTACCAAAAAATGGGAAATTTATTAGACTAGAGCAGAATAGGATAGTCTGTATGATCCCCCCCCCCAAAAGCTTGCCCATTATTCCTAAGAGGATAATAAAAGTATAACAAATAAGAGAAGATCTCGAATGTACGATGTTGAATTCTTTAAAGTCACTGAACATACGGAGATGAGATTATTTCATAATCCATGGTTTCATGGATCAGAACCTCCATGGCTCTCATCCTGATTTTATTGTGGGCCTGGTAAATTATTTAAATTATAATCTAATATGGATACAGACATTGGAGAAAAGATTCTGGTAACAACCAAATGGGATGAAGGAAATTGAAGATTTATTGAGTTAATAACCAAAACTTAATATGCTTCTTATGTATTCACTTTCCCAGGAAGGAAATTTTATTTTGATGTTTCGTTGAAGGAAACTTGAGGTGCAGGGAAGTTAGAATACTTATAGAGACTATATAACCAGGAAGGGTAGGATCTGAAACTTTGGTCTCCAGATCTAGTCTTCTTTTTGTTGTGGATTGTAAGCAGTTCTTGATTTTGTAAATAAACAGACCCTTAAGACAAAATGAAGGATCCTCTCTGTCTCATGAAGAAGGGACTGCCTCCCATGCATGATACTGTTGCTAAAATAGTCTTCAGATGCAAAGGAGAATGACTAGATCGCAAGGAAAAACCTTCCATTAATGCTGCATCCTCCACGGGAGTGAGGAGTTCTTGTTCTCTCCACAGTATTGTATGCTTTCATAAGTGTGGGTTCAAGTCTTGCTCTTTCTTAACTAGATTTTTTGAGAATAGATACTTAGCCTTTTCTGGGCAATAACTGCTTTCTTGGTAAAATAGGAAAATAATACCTACTTTATAGCATGGTGTGGAGCGCATCATAGGTATCCAGTAGTTCTCTTTTATCTGTGGTTAAAGCTATCATCTGATGTCAGTAATGATATCCCTGTTCCACATCCTCTTCTGAATCCAGCCTGAGCCTCTGGCAGCTCCCTGCCATTTTACAACTGTTGTTGGATGATCTTCAGCGAAATTCTACTTGCGTGTGTTATTAATGATATTGTTCTATAATTTGAGCATTCTGTTGGGTCACCTTTTTTTTTTTTGAGTGAGTACATATATGGATCTCTTCCAGTCACTTGGCCAAAGAGTTGTCTTCAAATGTCCTGGCATCGATGAGTAAGAACTTCCACTGTTTTATCAGCTTGTTGAAATTCAATTGGTATTCCACAAATTCCTGGAGTCTTGGTTTTGGCTGATGCTTTCAGTGCCTCTTGAACTTCCTACTTAAGTACCATTGTCTGTTGCTCATCTGCTACCTCCTGAAATGATTGAATATCAACCAGTTTGTTTTTTTGGCACAGTGACTGTATATTGTTTCCATCTTCTTTTGATGCTTCCTGCATCATTCAATATTTTGTCCATGGAATTTTCAGTGTTGCAACTCAAGGCTTGGCAAAAAGCACAGATATTAAAAGAAATATATTTACTTGCGTTTTATTGACTATGTGGATCATAACAAACTATGGGTAGCCTTGAGAAGAACGGGAATTCCAGAATACTTAATTTTGCTCATGAGGAACTTGTTAATGGATGGAGAGGCAGTTGTGAGAACAGAAAAAAGTGAATGTTGTATGGTGTAAAATCAGAAAAGGTGTGTATTAGGATCCTGTCCCCATACTTATTGAGTCTATATACTGAGCAAATAATCAGAGAAGCTGGACTATATTGAACAAGAACTAGACATTCGGATTGCAGGAAGGCTTATTAATAACTTGTGATATGCAGATGACACAATCTTGCTTGCTGAAAGGAAAACTTGAAGCACTTGCTGATGAAGATCAAGGATTGCAGTCTTCAGTATGAATTGCAACTCAATATAAAGAAGTCTAAATTTCTCACAATTAGACTAATATGCAACATCATGGTAAATAGAGAACAGATTGAAGTTGTTGAGGATTTCATGTTGCTTGGATCTACAGACAGTGCTCATGGAAGCTCCAGTCAAGAAATCAAAAGACTGACGGCATCGGGTAAATCTTCTGCACAAGACCTCTTTAAAGTGTTGACAAGCAAGGAGGCTACCTTGAAGAGTAAGTCGTGGTATCTGGTCCAAGTCATGATGTCTTCGATTGCCATATATACAACATGTGAAAGTTGAACATAGAATAAGGAAGACGGAAGAAAATAATCGATACACTTGAATTATGGTGTTGGCAAAGAATATGGACTGTCAAAAGAACCAAAACTGTCAAGGAACAAATACAACCAAAATATTCCTTAGAAAAAAAGACGGGGGGGCGGGGGATTTTGTCTTTGGATATGTTGTCCGAAGGGGCCAGTTCCTGGCAAAGGACTTCATGCTTGGTAGAGAGGGAGTGAAAAAGAGGAAGGCCCTCCCCAAGATAGAGCAACACAGTGACTGCAACATTGGACTCAGACACAGCAACAGTTGTGATGATGCCGCAGGACATGGCAGTGCAATGTTCTGTTGTACTTAATGTCACTGAGTTGGAACCGAATCGCTGGCACAACCTGCCTATCCTAACAACAGCAACGATATAGCTGTCATTTGTAGGAACTATTTCCCAAATATAGATCATGGTGTTGGGCACAGGCAGTCCAAAGATGAGGTGCTCCACAGCAGTTACCAACGTTCCCAGTCTACAGTCTTAAGAAATAAGTCACTTTAACAGTTGTGTGTGCTTGTTTTAGAAGACATGAATTAATTAGTGCTCTAATTGATTTTAAAGCTTTGTCTCTTTGTTCATTTTTGTAAATACAATTATATTTCATAATCAACAGTTTGTGTAGAGTACAGATATTTTGAGGGTAAAAATATGTTGAATGGAGCTAACTTGATGGTTTCTAGGGACCGTTTTATCCTGGAAGCTGAGTCAGCAAATGCTTGAAGCTCCACTTTATGGGCTACACCCTGAAAGAACCCAAAGAGAGTAATTCACAGTCCCAAACCACAAAAGAGCAAAAACATCTGGAGGATAAGCATTTTGCTTGGAAAATAAACACTGGACAAATGCTCACTAATAGCCTGTGATATGCAGATGGCACAATCTTGCTTATCAACCACGAGAACTTGAAGCACTTACTGATTTAAATAAAAAACTTGGGCCTTCTGTATTGATTACACCTTAACATTAAACAAAATCTTCACAATTGGACCAATAAACAACATGAGCAATGGAGAAAAGATTAATGTCAAGGATTTTATTTTACTTGGATCCACAATCAACACTCATGGAAATAGGAGGCAGGAAATGAAGCTATGTGTTGCATTGGGCTGCAAAAAGACCTCTCTATTAAAGAGCAATGATATCACCTTGAGGATTAAGTTGCACCTGAGCACGGCATGGTATTTTTCATTGCCTCACATGCGTGGAAAAGATGGACTATGAACAAGGAAGACTGTTGCTGGAGAGTATTGAAAGTGCCATGAACTGCCAGAAGAATGAACCAATCTGTTTTGGAGCAAGTTCCGCCAGAGTCCTCATTATAAGTGAGGCTGATGAGACTTCGTCTAAAGTGCTTGGGTATGCCATCAGTAGGGATCAGTCGCTGGGGAAGGACATCAGGTTTTGTAAAGTAGCCCACTGCCACTTATTCTAACTCGTTGACTGTAAATGTGGTTTCTGAGGCTGTAAATACTTATGGCAGCAGACAACTTAAAATCTTTCTCCTGAATAGCTGGTGGGTTAGAACCACCAATATTATGGTTAGCAGTTCAATGCTTACCCAGCAGCAGCACCACTAGGACTCCTTTGGTGAAGTTGAGGGACAGAGAAGAAGAGGAAGACCCTCAACAAGATAGTTTGACACAGTGAACGTGACAATGGGCTCAAACATAACAGTGGTGAAGGTGGCACCACTGACAACTTCCGTGTTCGACAGGCCATTCTCTCAAGTCAACAGAACAGGTTGTAGGATCCAGACCCAACAAAAATCAAGCTTTTCCCACAGTATTGACTTCTCCCATCCAAGGACTAACCAGGCCCGACCCTGCTTAGCTTCTGAGATCGGGCGCGTTCGGCCGTAGACAGTATTGACTTCCATTGGAAGTAGAAGGCCTGAGGAAATGACCTTTCAATTGATTGGATCAAGACATGATCAGAATAAAGTGTTGCATCACACAACTAATTGGCTGCTCATAGAAGATCTCATAATGGAGGTGATTAAAATGTGTTAGCTCACATTGTGGTGGTTTACCAGGTTTTAACTGCCAAACCACTGAGAAACCTGGCCTAACCAATTTGACAGAAAACCGAACGCAGTGCAGTACCTGGCAGTGTTTTATTCTGTTATCCATGAGGTTGCTATGAGGTGAAAGCAACTTGCCATCACCTAAGAACAGCATTAGTATTAGCTCGTCAAAACAGCAGAGTTTGAACAGAATGAATATGCAACAGGCACTAAATGCAAAGATGACCTTTAGTGGAAATGTGTGGTGCATTGGTGATATTGCAGAGTTCTAAGGGTTACAGATGAGAAAGGGATGTGACATTTGTTTCTGGATCTTAAAGGATGTGTATGTTTGCCAGCCACTGGTTGAAGAGGGAACGAATAGAATGTCAGTTCTGCAGGATAC